TGCGCATGTGAAATCTCCGACTCAGAAAAAATTAATAAAAATAAACGTATAAAGAAAAATAAAGAATATTGATACATATTTGTAAAACAAATCTTTATCCAAGTACATTATATACAATATAAATATATATATACGCTATTTGCAAACATAACTATAGATAGTAAAAACATAAAAAAATCTTAATATCTTGATGTTTTCCTAATACATTTGTACACCATCGAGACTCACCATGTCAAATTTTATTGTTTCGAAATAATCGAAATTCGCTGGAAAATCTTATGAATAATTTTTAAGGAATTTAATAAAGTAAATATACATTAAAATGCATTAGCGATACAAGCGCGCAAAATTTCGTAGAGCACTTGTGACGGTTTTCGGTGTTTCTGACCTAAATATCGTAAAAAAGAACACAAGAAAGATATAATTAAATATTTGTCGAATTACTTAAAAGAGTTCTTAGCAATATCTATTAAATATAAATATCGTTTGACTTTTTTATAAAATTATTATTATGAACTTTTCCAATATTATTTATGTTTCAATCGATATAAAGTTGTATGTTACGTACCTCGTGACTGTACTATGAAATTCGAGTAATTGCTCAGGTGTTGCTGTAGGAGCTCCACCTGCATTTTGTGATGGCATTGTCTTGATAGCTTCTTCCAACCATTTTGACATGAGCTAATAGAAAATATGATATATAATTTCTCTATATATAAAACACAGAATGTATAGGACAGAAGCTATAATAAAATATATCTTACGTCTGTGTCACTTCGGGTAAGTTCTATAATGACATCCGCCACATCGGACAGCATATAAGAAGATAAATCAAACACTGAAGCGTATAATAATTTTATGACTAACGTTTGGCCTTTTTCTCGCAATATATTTTGTACCAATTGTCGTCGTATCGTATAATCTGATCGATCCTGAAAATAAATAAAAAATAAACTGTATTATACAATTTAAGTCTAATCTATATATTACACCATATAACAAGAAAATTTTTTTTTTCATATTTTTTTTCATATGAAAACATCGACAAATTTGTAAAAGTAGAGACAAAATCATAGAAATACTTTTCGTTCCGTGAGATCAAGTTATTTACGTTTTATTATATATCATTCGTTTCATTACGTGTTTCATTACGTTTTATATATGTTTTTTATTATATTTGAAGTTTACAATTATTAAGTTATTTCGGTCGCAGTACAAGATAAAATTTTGTGACTGCCTAAAAATCATACATTTTCATATAAAATTAATCGCTGAATCTGAACATGATAAAATTAAAACGAATAGAGCAGAACAAAATGGTGAAAAAATGCATTTTATCGAACATCGCTCAAATTTTTCTGTTTTTTACAAGTTTCTTTGTGAATGAGTCATTACATCATGAGAGTGCATTTTAATATTTAAACAGTAGCTTGACATTTCGCGGTTTGATAGTTTATTCAATTTACATTTAGCATGTAAAATAAAAGCAAAACAAAATATTTGCTGAAATAAAATAAAACTTAAAAAAAAAGAAAGAAAAGAAAAATATAATGCAAATCATAATTTTTGTTACGTGTGCGATTTATTTACGCTTTCAAACCATTCACGCAGTATTTCGAAAATCACATTTTTTTATTAACATTCACAAAAAAATCGTAGAAAAGTGAAAAGGAAAAAATTTTTTTATTAACATTCATTTATTAACAATCACAAAAAAATCATAGAAAAGTGAAAAGAAGGAAAAATTTGAATGATGTTTTATCAAAAGTGTTTTTTTTTTAGTCATTTTTTGTTTTATCGTTTTATATTGCCATTTATATTATCATTACCCTTTATATTACCAATATTACCATTTTTGGATTCATCGATTAATTTTACATAAAAATACATAATTTTCAGATAATCACAAAAGAGAATGTTAAATTTTGATTATCTTTGGATGAAAAATGATACCTAAGTTAATCATTGGAATATGTTTGCAGAATCTCCTAGAAATAGAAAATTACAATTATTTGTCCATTAAGACCGAGGAAAATTGAAAAGAAGATAGAGAGAGGATTTATTATTGTTAACTGAAATAGTCACGAATATTTTTAAAGCATTATATCCTTTAAAATAAAATCAATTACATTTTTATGTAAATCCTTTTAAAATCTAAAATATTTTTAAAGCATTATATCTTTTAAAATAAAATCAATTGCATATTTTTGAAGGGTGAATAAAAATGTAGAGAATAATTTTTTAATTTCTATAATATGGTAACCTGTAATATTCCAGGTGATTCCAAACCTCTGCGTTCACTCTCGCTCTCTCTCTCTCTCTCTCTCTCTCTCTCTCTCTCTCTCTCTCTCTCTCTCTCTCTCTTTGTCTCTGTGCGCGCGCGTGTGTGTAAAATAAGCAATTGATTTTATTTTAAATACAATGCTTAATACAATGCTTTAAAAATACTCGTAATTACTTCAGTTAATAATAATAAATCCCAATTTTCATACCTATTCTCGGCTCTAGAAAACAAATAATTATTTTCAATTTTTAGAAGATGATAGAATGCAACGTAAGATGTAAAGATAGAAATGATATCATCGATTTATAAAATATGATGATTTTATAAATATGTTTCAATATTATAATTAAGGTAAGTATCGGCTTTGATCCAAAAACAATCAAAACTTATCATCCTCCTACATCCTCCTTTCTTCTTGCCCTATAACCACAATAATCTTTTTTAAATTTCAAATGTGCACAAAAAATACAAATAATTTGATTTTGCGCAACAGAACGTACTTTTATGATAAATTTTATTTTTATTTTCACGGATATATTGACTTTTCTTGTGTGAAAAAAATTTTCTTTTTTGTTACAGTGTTATATATGTATTTCGGAGATTTGATTTGATTTAGAATGCTCATAAAAGATTACCTTGTAACTGCGGCCACTATGTAAAAGATCATAAAAGAATTTCATTACTGAACTATTAGCGTCTCTGTGATCCAAACTGCAAGCCATTATAGCACAATCTACAATACTTCCAATAACGGGAGAATGCAACAAAGGGATAGGAGCCCTTTGAAGAAACCTTTTATATAAAATAAATGAAATATCAGACATTTCAATAAAAACATCGATTGAATATTATATTGTTCAATTAATCATTGCGGTACCTGGCACACAACCTGAACAGATCATCTACCGTATCAGGATGATTTTTCAAACCATCTTCTTGTTCGAGAAGAGCAAAAGTAGGACAGATGAAAGCTTGTAACATATTTAATAGATTCCATACACATTCCGAGTCGTTTGCGTATTCATCCACCAATATAGAACCAAGATACAAGAAACAACTATGTTTATGTACCGTATATAACGGTACAATCTGTATAAAAAGGAGAGAAATTATAAACATTATTTAAATTATAACTTAAACTGATAACTGATAACTTGGTTGTAAAGCAATATCTCGTCAAGTACAAAACAAGATTTTATTCCCAAATTTTGCATATGATATAAAGAATTTTGGACAGAAAAATAATATATCATTTTATATGATAATAAAAAATAAATAAATAAATCATATAAAAAAAATTTTCTTTAAAAAAGTATAAATATTCAGATTAAGAATAATTGTTATTATATCCGATACCTGTTTCACAATCGGTTCGAGTAAATGAGCAGAATATTTGCCTACACAACGTACTGCAAAACGTATGCAACGACAACATCTCTCCATGACTCTCACATCTCGTTGATATGTTTCGCATACATTCGACAATACAGGCCACATCTATGAATACACAACAAATGTCATTAGCGTTCACATTTAGCGAAAGATCTTTGATTTATAATAAGACTCACTTCAGTGATTACACTTTGACAAGGGTGAGGCTTATTAGGGTCATCAATCTGAGGATTGGTATGTTTAAATATAGCGGCTAATCTATCCAGCCATATCACAGGATCAGTCTTTGTTCCTCTCTCTATTTGAACTCTATCCGTCAGAAGCGTCCACAGAGAACTTGCTTGAAAGCAGCACAATTCTCTCATTGCCGGAGTAATTTCCTCATGTGGTAATCTTGCCAAAATTATTGATACTCCTGTCATAAGAATTAATATTCTTAATTCTTATTAAACTACGTTATCGCAAAAAAATTAAAGAATGTAGAACATAGAATCATGCATCGTGTAATCATAGATTTTTTAATAAAATAATCCATATTTTTTTTAAATTCAACCTTTTAATAGGCCAATGGCTGCATCGTTGCTAATAGCAAAGTTGTCGAGAGAACGTGCTATTTGTAAAAGTCCAGAAAAGTGTGACGCCATATGTAACGGACAAGCAGTACATATGCTTAATAATGCACCCGAAGCAGCACTTCCTAAACCCTTTTGATTTAAACATGCTAAGAGGAAATTTAAAACTGGTTCTGGAATAACAAAATACAATAAATATTATTGAAATACATATTAGACTTAATGATATGCCAAAGTCATACCTAGTGATTGTGGATGTCTATCTATCCATTCACATAATTCGCCTAACAGAAGAATACTAGTATAGCGTACGGCTATATGAGTATTTTCCGGTAAATTAAGAATAGCTTCTACCACTTTCGGAACTACATCATTTTCTTCTCTGTTATGAAAACTTTTTGTTACATCTAGCCCTTAAGTGTGTTACTTTGTAATATATATAATAGAAAAAACATACGGTAGAATATTTTTTGCCACCGCCTGCATTATGAAAAGAGCCGCTTCAGTTGAGTCCCAAGTAGGCGTATGTATAGGTTGACCCTGTGGTCCAGGGCCTCCAGTCAGCGATGAAAACATTTGTCGGAAACAGTGGCTACTTCCAACTACGAATACTACATCTTTTATCAAATCCGATACGCGATTTCGAAAGTCAGCAAATTCCTCGCCTCCTCCTCCTTCTTCCACGAGACCCAACTGGTAATTAATTAATATGATATATATTTAATAATATATGATTAATAATGTATAATTTTAGTACTTATTTTGTTTATATGAAATTTAAAAAATTTTGGTAGCATATACTGACATGGTCAGGTTCCATTTGGCAATGTCTGCAGAGGGCACCGATCAGTCTCTCGATATGAGGTCGAAATACAGCATTAAGATCATCGCTATTTTTTTGATAAAGAATTTCTGATAGCCGATACCATAGGTTAAAAGTTATCTGTGCAACCTGAGAGAGTATTATTTTATATTCTGTAGCTAAATATTAATTTGTATTTACTAATAGTAATATTAAATCGATATACACATTTGAATACCTCATAATCATGATGACCCACACATGTGAGGACAAGATCTAAAATTTTTATGGCATAATGCTGTTTTCCATCTTCGCTACCTGTCACCATAGTCTCCAAAAATGTCTCGGCTAGTTCCGTGAATATTCGACAATAATTTATAGACCTGCAATATATTTAACGACTAGATTTATACTACAAACATAATTGAGTAGACCAAACAATTTACTTTTCCATGTCCTCGTGCGCAACAGATAAATGATATGGTTGTTCTAAATTTATTACACTTGTAAAAAGACATAATTGCAATTGCTGCAATTGTACATTTGTTTCGTTGTCACTACCACGATTGGTACTGCTATCTTCTGCTAACGCCTGTAAAATTATGCAGATACAATCGGTAGCCGTTTCATGAAGCTGTGAAACAGCCATATGATTGCTGAGGACCTAAAAAGTAAATGTCATTTGATAAAAAAAACAATAGGTAATCATTTCTTGCCAAAAACATTTTATCAGCGTCAAGAAACTCACTTGTAAAGCATAAACGACTACCTCACTCGAGGGTACAGCTTTAAGTGGTATCGCATGAACAGTTATCCAGCTGGTAAAACATCGCAAAATAGTGACTTGAATTTGTAAATTATCACCGCTGTTTTTTAGGCACATTTTCTGCAATTACACTATATATGAAATATTGAATAATCAATGTTGGGAGCTTTCCAGCAAGAAGACACAGATAGACACTGTGTCACACAATTAAACACAATGTCTAGGTAGCTTGATAGAATGTCTTTTAGTTCTATATCAACATATAGATATAGTCACCAGTTGACGCTAGCTGAAATTTGTTGAAGGTTTTGATTGCTTCATTCTCGAGCATAACCTTTAAAATATTTGCAGTGTCACAGCAATAATCAAAGAAATAACCTTTTCTTCTTCTTCTTAGTCCAGCTAGCTTATTCTGTAATTCTTAAGAATAATTCGGTATCATTATATTGTCGTTGCGCAGATTTTTTTATCATATAAAATATCTGTGCAACAACAGTATGACATCGAATTGTCGTTAGAGAATAGGTCTACAGAATGCCTTAAACAAACCTTAAATAAATGATTAATTTCAAAACAGAAAAAGACAGAATTCTTTTTCACTATTCAGTGCTACGAACATAAAAGTTTAAAAATTGGCAGCATGATGCAGAACACAGTCCGACTCTGCTTCGTAGCTGTGTCGAAATGTATCGTATTGTGTCGTAACAGGAAAGCACGTATAGCGACACTGTGTTACACTGTGTCAACTGTGTCGCTTGCTAGAAAGCTCCCGTTAAACAGAATTCACATATATACGTAAACATGTGAGAGTACAAAATAATTTTATAGTATACCAGAAACTCTGTCACAGTATCTGCATTTGCATTCAGTTCAAGCAATATATGCTGCCTATGATTAGCTCCTAGCCTATATGCAAACAAAATAAACTTGATTTTTCAATTGCCACTTTGACAACATCCAATAAGTAATAGGACATAATGTTACCTGAGAGATCTTGAATTTACTTCTTCTGGGAGCACCGTCATTATTTCAAGTAATGGCCAAAGATTTGCAGTATTTCCTCCAAACCTGTTGATTAAATCTACCACTGGTTTCTGCCAGGAAGACATTTGTAGAGCCAAATCCGCTAATGCTAAGCATAACTGTAATTAAATATAAAGATTTCATATTAAATATTTTATAAATATGCATAATCGATATTACGAGTGTAGAGTATTATACAAATGTTTTTAATAAAACATAAAAGCAATTTTGTTTTATTAAAAAAATTTATGTATAAATACCTGAGTAACAATGGCAGAATTAGTATGTTCATTAATTTGTGATATATGTTCCATCAACGAATCTCTCAACGAAGTATGTGCCTCCTGGGGTAATTCGTGGAAAGAAAGTTGGATCTTAGTACGCATTGTTTGTGCAGCAAAATAACAAGACTCTATATTTCGTTTTTGATGTAACATCTCATCAGCTATCTTCCATGCAAATACCTATAGAAACATATATGTAAATGAATGTAAAAATAATAAATTTTCTTTATGATGAAATATGAGAAATTTATATTGCAGAAATAAAGAAAATCTTGTATATGATGGTTAATATCATTAAAAAGAAAAAGATCGTGCAAAATATATAAAAGACATGAAAAGTCTAATATTATTAGTTTAAATTTAATTCAATTTCTTCATTTTGCAACGTAATAATATAAACGTATATACATATCTTATGACAACGCGACAATCTTTCTCTTTAAGGTTAGAAAGCGGCTTTCCATACTTTTAATTTCCAATGTTCTCGATGCAGGTGCATCGGAAAACACGCGCATTGGAACTATTTAACGTAACAATGCGAGCGATTGAATTTAGGAGAGACACGCGGAGAAATTTAACGATTAAAATGACGTGGGCTCACCGATCTCTGCAATTCTCCTAGCCATAGTGACGCCTTTCCTGGTTCAGCCGGATTTGTATTGTTATATAAAGAGAACACGGCCTGGTAAACGGTCTCCAGGTTCGGCGGTGAATCCATGTTTCAGAGAATATTCGGGCGTGAAATTCCCATGCAGTCAAATCCCGGCTGACAAACCAATGCACTCGCGCGAGGCCGAACCACAGCCGAACTATCTTGCTCCGATCCGAGGATTTAACCTCCAACGTGCAACGGACAGTGTCGGGTGCTGCTTCGCGAAGTCGTCATAATTGTTCAGGCTCTATTTAGCCGTCACCTTTCGTATATCGGAGATGCATCTGTTATGCGGATAGAATGCAAAGTATGAAATACATGTACTCACGACGGGCAGGTAGGAAAGGGCAAAATTTTGAAAAGAAGTACCGAAAGTGCAGCCGAAAAGAATGGATGTCGGATGATTTTTCGCACTTTCCACACTTAAGCCTGTATCAAAGCCGTGCATTGTGGATTAAAAATTCGCGAATTAGAGATTAGAATTCGACCAATTGCAGAAGAGGATTTTGAGATTCAAATTATCTGATTGGACGAAATCTACTCTTCATTCGTAATGATCTTCAATGCGTAATAATCCAAGACCCCCCCCTCCCTACCTTACAATAAAATGTAAAGAAAATAAAATTGCAATTTTCTTTCTTTACGAATTTTGCTTTATGATCTTCTTCATGACTAGAAAAAATTTCTAAAAATTGAATATTAGGAAAATATAATTGGAGAAAGGAGACGGCACTAACTAACATTTCAAGAATTTCCAATAAGAATTTCCATTCAGAATTTTGAATTTTACCTAAACAATGTTAAGAAGTTTAGGAAAATATTATCGCTAAGGAAATTATATTAGTTAAAATTTCGAAAATTTTTTGAAAAAACGCGATTGCGAATTAAAAAAATTTAGACTTTGGAAATTCAGATTATAATAAATTTTAAATTTATGAAAATTGACAAATTATTGAAATATAATTAGAGATAAGGTTAAATAAATTATAACTTTATACATTTTAATTCCAAAAACTAAAATTTTATTAATCTTTTTTTTTCATCAATAACGTTTTCGGATGAAGTGGATCCTAACCCGAGTTGGATGCGCTATCTACACCTAAAACGAGATGGATATAGAATGGGAGCGTTGGAAAAAGAAAGAAGATTTCGTTTTAGGTGTAAATAGTGCACCTAACTCGGGTTAAGTTTTATTTCACCTAAAAACGCTATAAGAGTCTATTCAGACAAAAACTTTATAACATAACCATATGCATAAAAAAAATTACCCAATCGCATTTCTATCATAACATAGACTTAGTTTACACTTAGCCATCCAATCCTGGTTCACTTCAAAATGAAATGGATTTAGGGAACGTTTACACCGGATTGATCTTACTCCGCTAAGAAAAAAGGATTAAAGTGGATCAAAATTAATCCGTTTACACTTAAGAATTCTATACTTCATTCCGAAGTAAATCAGGATTGAACGGCTGAATGAAAACTAAGTCATAGACATATGAAATATATAAACCGAGTATAAGCTGCCACTTTAGAGGGGGGTTCTGATATACGGAACGAGGGGCACTCTAGAGCACTCGTCTGACATCGGTTCATTTCGGATAGACTCGTAACATTTGATTTATTTATGTTTTGTGCTCCATTTGAATAGTGGTAAATGAAAGTTTGAAGAAATTAGTTGTTTGAAATAAAAATATATTAAAATAGTAATAAATTTTTGCGTTGTATATAATTGAAACATTAACGGAACAAAGTACAGATGTTAATTGTAATTTAATAAATATTAAAAACAGAGGATTATTATTATATCCATCAAAAACTCTAACAAACATATGTAAGAATATAGAAAAAGCATTAACTTATATACATATACATAAAACGTTAGATCAATTTAATATGAGTAAATTTACAAATAATATTATGGTACATTTTATAGATAATAATTTTATAGATAATAATTTTTTCCGAATTAAAAGACCATATAAATGACCAAGATTTTTTTTCAAATTATTTAAATAATTTGTTACGTGCAATTATACAATTATATATAAAAATAAGATTGACGCATTATGTACAAGAAGTTAAAATAAGCGATAAACATAAATTTAATAAATTAATATTATTTAAAGGATAATAAGAGGAATAAACATATATAAGTATTTATTTTATTCAATTTTTTTGTAAAAATTTACATTATTATTTCCCTACATTAGAGAGAGTGTTTAATAAGAATAACAGGCAATACATAAGATTATATATTTATAAAAATATAATATAAAAATATATTATAAAAAATATCAAATGGTATAAATATAAAATTCATTAAATGTTCAATAATATATTCAATATGTAAATATTAAATAAATAATGTGTTTTTTTCAATATTTCCAATGCGAAATTGTATCAATGATTTTGAATTTTCTTTGTGTTATAAAATCCTTTACATTGTATTTTTCTAAGTTACAAAAATTATTTCGTCTTAAGAAACAACAGAAAATATTTTATATAAAATAACGAAAGCATGTTTCATTATTAATTAGTTTAAAATATTTTTATGTATCACAGTTAGGTTAAGAATCACTAATTACAATATGACAGTCACGTGAGAAGCCGAATATATTCGAGAACTTACGAAAATAATCAAAGTCAGACGAGTGCCTCCTTTACCGCAAATATCAGTTACCTCTCGTAATATAAGGCTATATATTTCATCGGTCTATATATTTCATATGTTATGATCATAAGGACACATGTAAAATGCGATTGGATAATTTTCTTTATGCATATGGTTATGCTGCTATGCAAGTTTGTCTAGATAGGCCCTAAGGCTCTTGAGTAGTCATCGTGGTCATATTGGAATTATGACGTCATAGACGAGAAATGGCACAGTAAAGTTTATTGCAGTTAATTTATAAATAAAGAGATATATGACTACAACATCTTGAGATAGCTTTAAGACACTTGTGAAAATGGATGGCTGTTATCCTTTCCTTTCCTGATAGTTAATAAATATAAAGAGCAGATAAAATGAAACCTGTACAGGCAGAAAACACACGGTTGAAAGAAGTGGAAGATATGCTTTTACATATAAAATTCAAAGGTAACTTTAGTTGTCGTTCATTTTTATGAAAAATTGATAAATACGAAATAAGGTAATTGGTAAATACGAAATCACATCTGCACGATTAAGCGCATAATAACGAAATTAATTGCAATATAAAATTATTGTTCACACTTAATATAAAGATGAACAAAGCAAGGATAAGATGAACAAGATTGACTGAGCTTTTAATTTTTACCGCGATGTGTCACTATCGCAATGCGGAGGCCTTGGCTACTCAGGAGCTGCGTTATGAAATATTTTTATTATTTATAAGCATTTCTATAAACATAATTTATTTTGAGCACTTATTTCTTCATTATTATTATTATTATTACTCGAAGTATTTTTATGGAATTAGAAACGAATTAGAAACAAAAAGCCGATGATTTATTTATATTTATTCAAGTTTCTCGATGTGAATCATATCGATTCAACCGATGAATTTCTCAGAAACGCTTATGAAGATTTACCAAACTATAGAACCATAGAACATTCGAAGGACCCAGATATGGTTTCCACTCTTTATATCCGATGCACAGTGAACCGACATATTTTCCTAATATGACAAAAGTTGACAGTTTCATAAACTGAAAGGGGAGATTTTATACAACTGCAATCCACACACGATGAGTGACTATAAGATACCGATAATCGAGCCAACTATAGATTACACAAAGGTGTTGATGAAATTTTAACACAAAGTTTTCCGTGCGTGCAAGTCGATAAAGTTGAATAAAACGCTCGACAATAATTGATCCACGAAACAGACTGAAATAACTTACATTTTACAGGTACCGCCGATCAACCAAAAGCGGACAGTCTCTTTTATAAATCACTTTATTACTCACACCGTGACGTTTTTGAATAAATTTGCCTTGTCCTGTGAGGAAAGACTTTTTGATTTCGAAAATAAATTGCAAAAGTTAGAAGCGTCGTTAGAAATATTAGAATCGCGGGTACGTGTATTTTTGTAAATGTGTACAGAGAGTTGTAAGAGGAAAACATCTTTACAATAAATTATTTTGAATATATTGAAGTATACTCGGTTTTTCACAAATGTTTTGCTTTGATTCTGCATAGTTATCTTCTATACCTGGTTTAGAACAAGAACATAAAAAAATAAATAATGTAAATGAAAATAATACAAATAAATTAGAGGAGGTAGAGGTATGCAAAGTGGATGAACCTGATAATAGTGAGATAAATCCTAAGGACGAAGAAAAAGCACAGTCAGCAGCTAAAGATCCTCGCTATGAAAAATATTTCAAAATGTTACATTTTGGTGTGCCAAAACAAGCAGTTAAATTGAAAATGGAGCAAGAAGGATTAGATTCATCCATATTGGAGTAAGTTTAACATCTTTATGTAGAAAGGTTGTAATATTAATATCAATAATATTAAAAATACATATCTGACTTAATATTAAGTAGTAAGATTACGATTTACTTCTTATGATTTTATTAGAATTTTATTTAAATTTATTAAGACAGTAAATTCTTTTTTATAAGAGACATTATTATTATTATTACATCAATTTGCATGTGAACTAAATCTTGATTCGCCTAATATGACATACAAAAGCTACAAAATAACTTGTCCATTTTTTTTATTTTGTTAGCAATCCACAACAGTTAGTGTCTATACCACGGTCGTCAGAGAACAGTGAGAATCAAGGTGAATAGATCATCACTTTAATGCTGTAAGCACTGTATCATTTTAGGTATATTGGATATTTTTACAAAATAGGATAAAAACGTGTACAAATCTCTATAGATTTATTTATTTTTAAAATACAGAATGCAGAAGGTGAAATATTGAATGAGTAGCTTAGAATTGAATCATTTGACCCTGAAAAAAAAAAAGGTAGTTTAGTTGATATTGCTTGACAATTACTTATTGAACATTTTATAGATATGTTTATATTAACCTTCCTCTTCTTGTCACCACCCAATTCAAAATGTTTGCACCGTTTCAATGGAATTTGTTTCCTATACTTGCACTCTGTACATTCCATCCTTAGCACAATTTTCTTGGTTGTTTTAGCCTAAATATAATAAAATATATTCAATAATATAATAAAATACAATTTCATAGAATGTAAGATAATCGATATTATTAATACAGTTGTTTTATTATATTTTAGCTGCATTCTACTATTTACACTTTTTGCTACTGAAAATATAGTTTATATTACATATATTTTAGATGTAACAAATTTATTTAGTACAAATAGAATATTGAAACATGGTCTTTAGCAAAGAATATTAGAGTAGTGTATATTCCAAGAATGTTCCAGAAATTGTGATATAATCAGGAAGATGATTTTTCATGTAAAGTCAAAAATATAGAATGAATCTTTTTCATACAAAATTTTCAAGAAAATAAAGTTGGAATATTTATCATATATATATATATATATATATTATATATATATATATATATATATATAATGTGTATAAATGTGTATGCGCGCGCGCGTGGGCATGTGCGTATGTGTGTATGACACGTGCGTGCGTATGTGTATGTTTTTAAAGGGGAAGATTAAAACGTGTTTCTTTGTTTTCATTAAATTTCTGTTGACGCACAAAAAAAAAGATGTAGTTATTAATAGTAATAAAATGAAAAATAATAACTCTTTAGCTCGATTAAGACGACTGCGTGATGCAATTACGACGAGCGTGGTGTCGCTTAAAGTCGAGTCGCGCGGTCGAGTGTTTCGGAAAAATCCGTAAGTTATGTATTTTGTATTCTGATTTCATCGAGTGTGCATACACATCTGCGTGATTTGCGGAATCGTTTCTTCTATCTATAGATTAATCCGCGCCGCACGCACTCGGCCGAGACGTGAGACGTGAGACGCGAGACGGCGAGGAAGGAAGCGCGCGAATAGCTGTGAAATTTGCAGCGGATCGATCGAAATCGCGCGATCGTTCCTCGCGCGATCGTTTTGCGCGGTCGTTCGCACGTTCGGGACGGGATATCTATCGATTTTTCGCGCGGAATGCACGGCCGAAGGAATCCCACGTAGAAGGAAACGTAGCGCCAAGGCTTATTTGAATCGAGCGACGTAGCCTCGAACCGGACGCCTCGCTTGGGCCACGAACTCTCGAACCCCTCGTCCTCCGCGAGTTTTAATTTTATTTATACCCGGGGCGGACGCGTTACGTGGGACAGCCCTTCGGGAAGTCGCGAAAGATTGTGGATCGCTCGAAAATCGCGGATTATCCGCGCCGGCAGCGATATACGGGCGATCGCGAGACCGGCCAATCAGGGATTTATCGGGTTTTAAAGCTGCGCCATCTTCATTTTTGAACAAAGCCAGGTTGGACGTGCTAGGAGCGAGGCGGGATCTGGTAGTAGTCCGTTTTGTGCTATTCGCGCCACAGTCGTCGACACACGCTCCACTCCTGACTGATTCGGCCCTCCGCCGCTCACCCCCTTCCCACTATCAGTCGGTCTCTTTCCCCCCTACTACTCACGTTCTCCCTCTTTCTCGCGGCCCCTCGGGTCTTCGCCTGACGACGCTGCTCTCTCGAGCATTCCGGCGGAAACCGACGTCGTGTGAGGACACGTATTCGTAGTCTCGTTGCGCGTACACGCCGCAGCCGCCGCCGCCGCCGCCGCCGCCGCTAACGCCGCCGCCGCACTTTCGTACTTCGAGTTCAGTTCGAGTCGCGAAGCCGAGCTATTTGGATTATCGACGCGCACGCCGCTTCTAGAATTCCACCAATCATGAGTACTAAGGAAAATAACGAGGTCGCCGTAGAGAAGGTGACGGAGAACGACAAGGCATCCGCGGACGCAAAATGCGATATCAAGGGAATCAAGAGGCCAGCCGAGGTGAGTACCACTTTACCGTCGAGCTTTTTTTACTCCGACCATACCCGCGCACGGTTCGACGTTTATCTCGTGATGTTTGTCGCGGTGACGAGGAATCATCCTCGTCGTTGTCGCCGTCGTGGTCGCCACCGTTGCCGCCGCGGCAATGCTCCACCGCTATCCCGCTAGGAATAATATCGTAGCGACAAATACGAGACATGCTCATCGCGAAGCGCGCCACGCCGTCGGTCTCGCATCGTCGGGGGGGGACATTGAATCGCATCGATGCGCTCCGAGATTGACCGCCGTTGCCGCCACCACCGCCGCCGCCGCCGCCGCGGCGGCGGCCCGTGACCGCCGCGACGGATTTTCCCGCCCGTTCGGCGTTTTCTACGCATCGCCGTGGACCGGCCGTGGCATGCGAAGCGTGGCGAAACGTGCTCCCCGTGTAGCCCGCGCCGCCGAGCGACGGCACGGCGTAGCGAGGAGAACGCCGCGCCGGCCGGCATTTCTTCGGCAGACTCCATATTTCTGTGCGAGCGACCCCGAGCGTAGTCGAGCGCGCTCGATCGGACGCGCGTGCAAGGCATGTCTTTTTCGGCGCATAGTGTTTTTTTCCTACCGCGAGAACGTAGAGGCGCGCGAGAGACGCCATTGTGTATTTGAGACCACCGCGAATACGGATCCTTCTTACTCTCTCTTTCTCTCTCTTTCTCTCTTATCTTCTTTTCTGCTTGTTCGCTCGCTCGCTCGCTTCTCGTTCGATGGCTGACGATGATGATAATGACGACGGCGATGACGACTCCTACCGGAACAAGCTATAATTACCATGTTTCTCGTTCGCTGAAATTCGAGGCAACGCTAAAAGCCTACGTGTTCGCGCGCGCATGGGAAAAGACGGAGAGGAGAAAGCGTTATTTGGCATTAGAGACAGCGGTGGAGGAAGAGGGAACAATCATGAGAGAAACACCAGAGAGAGAGAGAGAGAGAGAGAGAGAAATAATACTTACAGCGCCATGTGCTCGTTCTCGTACGTGTGTCTCTCTCTCTCTCTCTCTCTCTCCTCCTCTT